CCCCCCGCCTCCTTTGCCCCACTCCAGCCCCTCCACCACCGGCAGCCCCTGCCCACGCACAGGCAGGGACCTGTCAGGGGGCTGCCAGAGGACACGCTCCCACCGTCCCCAGGTCCTATCTGCCACCCGCACACAGATGCCTTGGGAACACCAAGGCTGGTCTAATATGGCACGAAACCAGCGTGTGGGCAACCAAACCATGCCAGGAGCTAAATTAAGCGCCTAATTTAGCTGGGCTTCCTCTAGCAGAGCGAGGGTCCTCGGGGGGACCATAAGGGCAAGCCATGCACCCACTGGAGGTGCCCCCTTCCTCCTTGCTTTGTGGAAAGAGAGGAAGACATTTGGCAGCAGATGTGGTGGGAGTGGGTGGTAAAACTGAGCGTGCCCCGGGGCTGTACGGGTGAGGGAGGGCCCAGCTGCAAAGCAGAGGGCACCTCGTCGTGCCCCAAGGGGCTGCTCAGAAGCCTCAGCACCTATTGAAACCTTACCCAGGGCTGTGCTCCCGGGTGTCCCCGTGGCACGGACCACGGAGAGGAAGGCAGTTGTGCCATCAAATTGGGTACAGGTTTGGCAATTCAAAATGCTGCCCAAGTACATTATTCTTTGTAGGTGCTTCAGCCCTGCAGAAATTCTTAAAAAGCGAGAAAAGCAGGAAACACTGTCCCTGGGATACAGCCCTAGGGCATCTCCCCAGGGGACGCACGCTTAGCAAGCGCCCGCAGCACCGCAGCCCGTGCTGGCAGGGAAACAGGCTGCCTGCGGGCTGGCACCGCTACAAAGAGCAGAGATCTGCTACGTTACAAACTCCAAATTTGCTGATCGGAGAGGGGAAGCTCTGCTCTACACGTGTCTGTGCTCAAACTCTGCAGGGCGACGAGCCGTGTGTCCCCCCCCCGGGGCTGGGGGTACCCACAGAGCGGGCACCCGCACGAACCCGGGCTGAAGCACAGCCAGAAACCAGAGGGAGGGCGGTGAAGAAGCGAACCCCCAAGGCTCTGCTGCCTGCAGCGGGGATGTGAAGGTGCTAATTGAGAAGTAGCATGTGTCACTCTAATTCCCATCACAAACTGTTCCACTGGGGATTAGTTGTAATTAAAGAGAAGTGGCATTTTTTGACAGTGCATGTTATTTTCATGCAGCAAAAAAAAGAGCCTGTCAGAGGTACCATCAACAGGGACAAAGCTAAATATAGTAGAGGGATTATAGGAAATCTGCATTTTAATGTAAACCACACGATCCAGCCTGAAAGTCTGCACACGCCAAGGGCACATCATGGGCACAGGGTCTTCTCCAGCTCCCACCAGCTGTGTTTGGACACTGGAGGGAGTTAAACGGAGCAATCTCGAGAGACCAAAAGCTTTCCAAAGGCAAGGAATACTTGCTCCGTAGGCATTTCTCCTCCTGCCAGCACCCCAGTAACAGCATGGCCCTAGCTCTTTGGATGTATCAGTTCAAGAAGATGCAATGAGACATACTTCTGAGGGAGTTCTCCAAAGCACCCCATGATCTGTCCTCCTGTTTTGGGCTCTCCAAAGGTACTCCTTACCTCTCTTCGTAGCGATTCATCCTCAGGTTGGTAACCTCTCTAGGGGACCAGGCACGTGTCTGGGGCCACTCAGGAAAGACTTGCATGAAAATGTCTAGGATTTAAACCAATAAGAACCACATACATGAAGTAAGCTGCGAGCGAGAGGCCCTTGCAGAAAGTGTGCCCTTGCATAAAGCATGGGTGGGCAGATGAGAAGAGTGCTGCCCATTCCATGCCCCCAAAGGTATATAAGTGTGTGTGTGCACGTCATGGGTGCCCATACAGGTGTGAGCTTTGTGCCCTTGCAGCCGCCCTGCCCTCCCGGCCCCCGCTGCCAGCAGGTTTGTGTCTGTGCTGCAGGGCGGGTTTGGCATCATGGAAGAGATGTGCGTGAACTACGTGCACTACTACCCCCAGACGCAGCTGGAGCTGTGCAAAAGCGCCGTGGATCCGGGCTACCTGCACCGCTACTTCAACCTCGTGAACAGGTACAGAGCCCCTGCGCAGCGGAGCCGAGGGGAGAGGGACCGCTGCAGAGCCCCTCGCTAGTAACACTGGAAAAAAAAGCTTGAAAGGTGGGGTTTGAGGCGCTGGCTGTGCAGTAGGCGTGGGGGGCACTCGGGCGGTGCGGGTTTCAGGAGCCGTGGCTGTCTGCTGCAGCACAGTCCTGCCCTCCCCTGCCCCCAGCGCAGGCAGCCAAACCCAGGGCGAGAACCACTGGGAAGTGAGGGCATTCCCAGGGAGGGAATTCCCAGCAAGAGTCAGTGCGTGGCCCAGTGCTTCTGTGCAAAATGCTTCTCATAACCTCAGACAGACACCAAGCATCCCAGCCAGAGAAGCAGGCTGCAGCTCATTGACCCACCCCGAGAGGAGCGAGATGCTGACCTTGCACAGGGTGTCCTGCTCATGGCCAGCCCCAGATCTTCCCCCCGCACAGTTCGGCTGCGCGAGGCTCTCCCTGCTCCCAGCGCCGACTTCGGAGCCGTTCCAGGCCGAGCTTCAGGCAGGGAGGAGTTAGGTACATCCAGCGCTGAAAAGGGACGGCACTGCTGCGTTTCAGTGTGGCATTTCTCCTGCCCCAGGTTTAACGATGAGGAGGTCTGCATGTGCCCGCAGGTCTCTGTCCCGCAGCAGTTCTCCTCCATCCCCTGGAACACGTTCAACAGAGATGTGCTGAAATCCCTCTACGGCTTTGCTCCGATCTCGGTGCACTGCAACGAATCCTCAGCCGTCCGGTTCCCGGTACGTATAGCTTCACCACCAAAGCTTCACAGCGAAACTCACGGCCGTAGGTGAAAAGCAGCTCGGCGGAGCTGTGCCACAGGGTGACCCCGACGAGACGGGCCAGGCCTGCTGTGCTCGGGACACGGCTGCGCCCAGCAGGCTCAGGGCAGGGAGCTGGAGCTGCCTGGGGGACCCCGGTGCCAGCAGGACACCGAGCCCAGCCCAACCCTGGTGCTTAAACCAACACGGCACGAGCCCGCTGCGGCTGTGCGGCCAGATTCAATTAGGAGATGTATTTGCATAACATTATTTTAAGGCTGCTTTTGCTGAGTGTTAAAGCAGGGCTTAGCTCCAGAACCGAGGAGAAACGTGAGGTGGTTTTTAGGATTTTGGCAACTTACATCAGGTCCCAGCAGAGTGAGCTCATTACGCACAGCATCTGTGCAGTCTCCAAACGTGGCAATCCAGCAAAACGTGAAGGATAAAGGGCCGCGAGATCTCTAAAGGAAAAACAGGACCAGCCAAGACGGTCATGACAATGATGGTGATGAAGATTTAAAACCATTGACAGTCCTGTAACCGTCAGCTCCCGATGACATTTATCGGTGTAACAAACTTACATGACACGTTATCCGCTGCAGCGCTGGAGGATGCCGAGGTGATTTCAGGGAAGACCATCAGCTTTCTGCTCCGGTAAAACCCCTTTAGCAAAGTCTGCTCTGGAGGAGCAAAAACTTTTCCAGTTCCCCGGGACTGAAGACCCAGCACATCTTGGCTGTGCAGAGCCCCACTGCAGGGACAGGAGCAGCGCAGAAGTTTTGTGCAGCAGAATTACAAAATAAGCCTCTTAATTATGGCCCAAGCAACCCTCCTGATTTCAGAGGGGTCTGGGGAGTGGCCAGGAAGAGAGGAGAGGAGAGGAGAGCTGATGCTGGCACTAAGTGGGTCACAAGCATCGCGTCAAGGGTGAGGGAGCCGAGGTGCCCCTCCTGCTCTGCTGGTGTTTTCAGAGCGAGCCCAGTTTGAAGACTTCTTATTTATTCCATGCTGTTTCTGCCTGGAGAAAAGCACCAGCTTCTAATTAAGCTCATGTTTTCACAGTTCAGCGATCCCAAACCCGACAAGATTTCTGGAAGGACTGAGTACTGTTAATTATTGAGCAAACTCTCAAGGTATCACTTGTGAGTGGCAGTGGGGACTTCGCTGTCCCCAGGTCCCCTACTTCTGCAAGGGCTCGCAGTGAACTCTCCATACTCTCTGCGTTCAGATTTCCACTTGGAAGAACGGAACACAACTATCAAGACACTCCAAATACTTTTGGTTCATCCCAAAATCATGGTGCTAGCGAGGTGCTAAGAACAGGGTCAGGGATGTGTTGGCAGTGCGACTGCCACAGCAGATGGGCTCAGGGCTGGGGCTGAGCCCTGGAGCAGGCGCACCCCAAACACGTTAACTGCTCTCCTAGGCCATAAGATTGCAGGAAAACAGTCGTTTCTGCAGCTGGTGCTTCCCTGCAATCCTGTCCCTTCTCCGGTCACTCCCCGTGGGCCTTAGGAGGGTCCCTCCATCCTCCTCCACCTTTCTGCAGGGTTTTTCCTGGTGCCAGCACAGGCTCTGGCCCATTTCGCTTGACATACTACAAGGCATTTAATCTGAAAACATAAATTCAACTTTCATCTTGTCGCTGATGACTCACAGCTCTACCTCTCCTCTCCAGACCTCCCTCCTCCTGCTCACGCTGTGGCTCAGCCTCTCGCTGACGTTTCCGCATGAGCGCCCAGCCAGCAGCCAAACCATCGCATCACCGAGCCAGAGCTGAGCCTGGACTGAGCCCCCCTTCGCCCTCACAGCCCCTGCCCGTGTCCCACCCGGCCACTAACCCAGACCAGCAAGTCACCTCTGAGCTGGACCCTGCGCGGCGGGCTCAGCCCCCGGCACTGCCTGACTCCGGCAGATTGCTCCTTGCAGGGAGCATCCCCACGACAAGGTGCCCCCACATGTGCACGGAGCTGGGGTTTTGTCCTGGCCGCGGTCACCTCGAGCCCTGACGGCTGTCACAGCTCTGCCCTGTCCAGGCTCCCACGTCCCTCCCGTTTCACAGCAGCTGCACGTGAAATCCACGCTGCAAATGTTGCCCCCTAACCAACCTTCCTGCCGATACCTGGTAGAGAGCAGTTTTTGGGGCTGGGCTGAGAGCATGGTGCATCGGTGTGATGCTCTGGTTTGAGTTGTCTCCATCTGATTTGGTGGGTAACACTTTTTGGGGTGGAAACTCCCCAAGCGCGGTGGGTTTGTGCAGCGTGGTGCACTGCAGACATCTGCGCTGCTAAGGGGACGCGTAGGTGTTTCTGCAATACAAATAATTAGTAACATCTCAGAAGAAAACATCCTGTTTTGGGTTAAAAACACTTCGAATATTAAAGATCATTTCATTTTCACAAGCAGGGAGAAACACGGAGTCACCAAGTACCCGAAACCTCGACTCGGTCTCATGGTGCCGAATTCTCTTGCAGGGCGAGTGGGAGAAGCAGCCGCTCCCCACCATCACCCAGAGGCTGCGGGAGACCGTCCCTCGCTGCTCGCCCCCCCCCGGGCCTCGGCCTGCCGCCCCCGGCCCCCTCAACC